CCAAAGAACTGTTATTCATTGCTGTCATTAAATCTTTTAATTGTTCCTTTTTCTTCGTCTGAGTCTTTCCAGATTGAATTCTCTGATCAATGAAAACTGAATCTGGATTCTGATTAGAATCAGTTTGATTCACTTCAGACCCATAAAATCTGTTCCAGAGGTTTATAGAGCTAGAGTCAGTAGATCAGCTATAAACCAGATGTTTGCTCTAGTTGTTTCATTTAACAGTTTTATTCCCCTAACAGAAATCATCTGATCTGTTGATGTTGAGATAAATCAAAGTTTTTCTGCTTCATTGAACTGAAGGAGTTCAGTCAGAATCTCAGCTGTTTGTCTCCAATCAGGAAGATTCACTTTCTGTTCAGATTATTTATATCTTCACATGTTTGATGTTCAAAATCTTTATTGTGTCTGTTTGTAACAGCAAATCAATTTTCTGTTTATTAAAATGAATGATTAACTTTTATGTTGATTAACTCTCATCTCTGAATCAAAAGCAAACCGTTCACACAGGTAGTGGATCTATAGATCAATAGATCTATAGATCAATAGATCTATTATCAGAGTTAAATCCTCCATATATGTGATGAACTTGATCTCTGCCATCACAACCAGAGAGGTTAAAACTTTATTTCTTTTATGTTGAAGCAGGAATAAAGTTCATTATAACATCCAGTCTGATCTTTTCTTCACTTTGTTCTTTAAACTCTGTTGGTTCATTTTAGTTTAATAAATCCTCCCAGTTCCTCCAGTTCAGTTTCTCTGTGTTAAACTGGGATGTGAAGAAAATAAATGTTTGACTCTCTGAAAGGATCTGGACAGTTTTCATCCTAGAAATACAACAAACAGATCTACAGCTTTTAGGATCCAAATGTTTGTGTAGCAAAGAGAAAAGAACAGCTCAAAATGAAAATGATGTGAATCTGATGATTATTCTGCTCTTATTTTCTATCAACTGAATGGATTTTTTAGCTCTGCACTGAATTTATTCAGAGAAACTCTGAGAAGGTTAAAAATGTTTTTATATGCACTCAGTGAGAAAGAAGCATTCTCGAAAAGTAGACAAAAATTGATGATGATTGACCAAAGGGACAGAGGATCAGAGTTTCTGACATTTCAGTTTTAGTTTTGCTCTTTTTACAAAAGAAGAAGTGAGAATATCTAACAGGGTTATTTCTTTCCATATGGCTCTTAGATGTTGTTATTTCTACATCTTGTGTTTCACAA